AAGGCGGGTGCGGGTACTTGTTCTGGATCGTTGTCCGAAAGTACTCGAGCTCCATATTTTCTTGCATCGAATTTACGAGCACGTACATTTTGACAATGTCGCCGTACACCGCTCCTCGTTCGAAAAGGGTCTGTGTTTCCGGTGCGAGCCACTTAAAACTCCCCGAGAAGTCGTGGAAGGCGGAGATGATTTTGCTGCAGCCTTTTCTCTCGGCCAATTGCTTGCGGATATCTTCGGGGAGCCACAGCTCAACGTCAATATACTCACAGCCCCACTGAATGGCGCGAGTGAGGTATTTCAGGAAAAGGTTCGGATCGTCCATGGGGAATCGGCCGTTCTCTTTCGTACACCTAGTTGTATAGATTATGGGAAGCTCCGTCCGTTGCCGCAATAGCATCAATTGTTCTCCTACGTATTTCAGGCTGGGTATCCTACTCACGCTCCCGTCCGGCAGGGGCTCTTCTAAGAGGTCCACTCTTATCTCAATTGCGTCCGCTCCTACAGACAAGATGTCGAGATTTGGAAGCGCAGCGTGAACGTCAGGAAAGGTCGTAGATATGAGTGTGGTGCGCGCCTTCTGCGTCAGGTCTCTGTGAGGGCTGATTTGACCCAGGATTAGTGACAGAAAGCGCGCAACGTCTCTCCGGAAGAAAGTCGACACGGTGTACAGATACTCGTAGTCGCAGCTCTCGGTGATGTTATCGTCGCGCGGGTGGGGCCCGTCGACGCAGTGTGTGTTTATGAGAATGCGCGACCGGTCCCAGCTGCGTGCCTGCGCTACGGCCACACTGCTCCGCATGCCATACACTGTCCCTTTGGGACCTGCCTTTACATCTTCCAGCGATGTTGTGGTCTCCCATGGTTGTCCCAGCACGTCCGCGAACACGCCGATTATATCGTCTTCTCCCTCGCCGTGCAGCAGCAGCAGGGCCGGCTTGTCCGCACTGGGTATTTCCCGGACCTGTATGGTTCCCACCTCTTTGAGCTGCGTGGTGGATACGCTCTCTGCCTGTATCATGGTCGCCATGTAAGGCGAAAGAATTGGAGTGACTCTGGTTTGCGCGCGGGTGGTCTTAGCCGTATACGTTGAAGCCGTTGATGTGAAGCTGGATCTCTGCGAGGATGCGACGGGAGGTGTTCAGTTGGGAGCAGTCGCGGAGAGATATCACCATCTCCAAATGCGCGAGCAGACCGAGGGAGGAGTGGGTATCCAGTGTCGACTGGGGGGGGACTGTTGCGCGTCGTCACGCCGCTGGTCGGAACCGGGTGGTCCAGTGACAGTGGGCAGGATATAAAACGAAACACGACCCTAATCGACGTATAGAGAATGGTTGCGGTAGCAAAGGTGCGTCAGGTCCTGCCATAGAGTACGGAAGATCACGAACTGCCGCACGATCCCGCGCGGTTCTCGCCTTCTGAGAGCATCGTATGGCTGGACTCTGAAAATGCCGTCCGGGAACCCGCCAAGGCACGCGTCTCGGGCAGTTGAGCATTGCTGCGGGCCAAACCCGCATTTGCAAAACTGGGGCGACTGGGGCAAATTTATCCGGGGAACGCAACCACTCTTTCCACCTATGAGAGGCGGCGATATTCGCTAGCCAAGCGGCACTCTGCAGCCCGCGCTCGACCGCACTCGATTGCAATCGCCCCTTCACGCGGGCAGCGGGTAGATGGGGGGTCTAGATTGGTGGACATATCACGGCGTGGAATCGCGCTGTAGTTTCTGTTACCTGAGACACAAGCTGAGGTATCAGATCCCGCAACCTGAGGTATCAGATCCCACAACCTGAGGTATCAGATCCCGCAACCTGAGGTATCAGATCCCGCAACCTGAGGGATCCGCCTCGACGTGACCTCGTCTCCAAGATGGAGAAGCCGCAAGAGATCGAGCCGCGGGGATGCTCTCAGGGATCAACTTGTTGTCGGGTTCGATTTGACCAGGAGACTGGCTGAATAGGAAGAGCCTCACCGCGGGAGCTTCGTTCGCACGCTGTTTCTGGCCGATTAGCCCTACGTAACTGCCATTCTCGGAAAGGACGAGCCAGTCCGATGGGATTCAGTTCACCCCTCAACCCGCTTTTGGCTGTTCTCCCACCGTGGCCGTTGCGTCATCGCTTCCTGATAGTGGACCTCGCTGAGTCGTGAGTCTTGACGGCAAACTTGGCAGTGTAGTGCGATGCCTAATCGCGATTTAGCCAGCAGCGACCACCTGAACGTCTAGATGAACTTGAAGATAGCGTACCACTTTCACGATTCCTAGGAACAATCTCTGAAGCCACTGCACCGGCCACCTCCGAACGGAAGGCTGTATCTTCGATGAGAGATTCCCACCACCAACTTTCGCTCATCTCGGCAATAAGGAGCGGGCAATACGACATCGCTAAGCCCACGCTCGTGTGGGAAGCTTGGTAAGACTGCTCTGGAGTCTCTCTCTCCACGAGTAGCCTACCTTGATCTTATCGCACTGTGCCTCGTGCATCTTCGAGATTCTCTGTTCTACTCTGTTTGACACCAAGAACGTAGCAGGTGTTTCACCACTCCCAAGTCATGTCACTTGACAATTTACAGCATCCTATTTCTCCGTAACACCACACGGCTCTAACAGATGAACGATCAATCATAGAATCAGAGGTGACGTCTTCCGTAGTCTGTTCACCAGCGTCGCCCGTCGCTCTTTCCTTTTGATCTGCCTTCACTTTGGTGGCTGCACATGTGTATTTGGGACTCAAGGGAAGGTATCCGCCACGAAAGAATACCAATATCTACAGACAGTTCCGTGTACGCCTCAAATACGTTGGTTTCTGTGACAAGTGCTGGAACTGTAGCATTTGGGCGAAGTGCCAGGACTACATGATCTTCGCCTTCCCTCCAGAAACGTCAACTACACTTCCACTGATCCACTGTAGGGAGTCAGCTATCACGAGCACTTGGAGCTTGCTCTGCTCGGCTCGTCTACTTACCCCCGCTTTCTCACTGACAAGCAGACCTACTACGCCCGCGATATCTTCGACTTCTCCAATACGGTTGCCTACAGTCACTTCGGCTGCATCCGACTTTGTGAGCTTGTCTCGCATATCGGGCGGGATCCTGTTGTACGCCTCTGTCTTGGTGAAGCCGACGCTGACCGAGTTGAAGGTCGTGCCTTCCATACCTGGACAGTTGCCAAGTTCGTCCGCCCATTTCCTGCAGTGGTCAGAGAGATATGTAACCAGTCATAGGCGTCAGGCTATGAGACTCCTAACCCGAAACTGAGCCAAATGGACCCGTAGTGAGCTTCCAACTTACCGCATCAAGCACTCGAGCGCCGCCTTCGTCGCCGCATAAACTGCCCTTCACAGCTATCAGTATCTTCCCACCAGCACCGCAGATTTCTCCTCACCCAGGGTCAAGCAACTTACCCACCATCGGGCCTCTCTGCCCTGACGCCCTCGCTACTAATCGCTACTACTCGCCCTCCCCTCCTAAACACATTCTCTCTCAAGAAACGCTCCACTAGCATCACTGGAAACTTCACGTTTCCCGCCAGCGCCAAGTCCACGACGTCCGCCCTTAAACTCCCTTCGCCCATCTTCGTGAGCGTCATAACTGCAGCGTTAAATACCACGATATCCACCTTGCCGTCGAAGTCAATCACAAGTGCGCGTAGGATGCGCCCGATCTCTCTAGAGGTATCAGGACGACTAATGTCGGATTTTACGCCCAAGAGCGTAGGTGCTGTGGCACCATGAAGTGCATTGGCAGAGTAGAGTGATCTAATTGTTTGCGTAAACGTGCCGAAGAGCTGTGCGGATTTATCGGAGGAATATGTGCCTAGAATGGAGGCGCCGCGAGTTGCGAGTTCGATGCAGATCGCACGGCCGATGCCTTTGGTTGCACCGCTGTGTTGATAGTAGATCAGCTTACACTCATATATCCAGGACTGGAGCCTGTAACACAAAGAAAGGTGCTCACGTTACGAGTGCGACTTTGCCTTTCAGATCCTGCTCTTGCAGTGCAATAGGTCGCGTATGAGGTGATGGGTCGAGAGCAGACATTGTAGCTGATGAGGATGGGCTTCAGGTACTTTTGAGAGTTGATTCGGAAGGATATCATAGAGTGAGTAATCAAATTTAAGGAGGATGTTCGTTCAATACAACTACCACCCCACACGTTGCTGCCTAGGCGCGTTCGAAATAACCCGCCTGAAGAGTGATCCGCACGTTGTTTGTCGCAATGCCCTTCATGTTCATGACTCCACATCGCCGGACCCACAGCATGAACGCATCTCGAACGAGGATCAACAGATGCACATTGCAACGGCGTGTAGCCTGTCTGTGAAGAAAAGCTTGGTACGTACCGTTCTGGTGTTGCTCTGTGAACCAGACTTGTTTCGGTAACAGGCGTTCCAAGTTCCTTTGTAGTCAGCAGCGCGACTGCGATCAAATATGGCAGGGATGTGTAGGATATAAGTAGATAAAAGGGCGAAGGGCAGCAAAGACTCCTTATACTATCTTTACTACTATAAGCTCCGGTTTTAGCTCCTTCATACTAAAATTCTATCAAATTGCCTGGGTGTACCGTAATACTGCTGTCTTGCGCGCAGGTGTTCAAGCCTACCTAGGTCGAGGGATGAGGATTTTTTGTAGATGTTGCGAGGCCTGGGCCTGTCTCTCTAGTCTGTAAATATATTGACAGAAAAAGTAACGCGTAAAAATAATATAAAGTAGGAACGCAGAACATGAATAAGAGTGTTAAACGTGTCCATGTTGTGCGCACGTTGGGTCACATTGGACATATCTCGGAGATGCTTGCGCCGCATTCCGCTTGTTCCGCAGCCCCACACTGTCGATGACGTGTCAGCTTTGCGCGGGGCTACTGTTTACCTCTTGTCGCAAACATTTATCGCAGCTACAGATTGAGGCCAGCAGGCCATTGCCTCGATATCGTTAGTTTTTTTCTATATGGATGATTTATTTTTCAAATTTTCAATAAAATGCATTGGATTTGCTTCAATCTGAACGGCTCCTGTGGCGCAATGGTAGCGCGTTGGACTTCTACCAGACCTCTGCTGCCAGAGATCCAAAGGCTGTGGGTTCGAGCCCCACCAGGATAAGTCTGCCTCTAACAGTACTTATGAACTAGAAATACTAACATCATGTACAGTGGATTGAATTTGCATAGAGTACTTTATTAGAAGAGAGATTTTTTTGCCTACGACTTAGTATTTAAGTGTGATAGTCTTTTCTCTCATAAGTTTAATCTTAAGTGATAAGCCTGAGTAGATAGAATTATCTAGCTTTTGTATAGTTATTCTTTTTTTTTGTTCTGGGTGATTACTCTACGGTCAGCAAAATTAGCGTCTGGTAGTGCTCTTGAGGTTTCTAATCCGCGTTACGAACAATAGCGTATTCCTTGCAGCGCTCGCGTCGCATATATAAGAGCCTGGGCCATTCCTTATAGTAATAGTTCAGGTTGCCTTACCGGCGGAAGTGGTACAGGTAATTAATATGACGTACACTCACCAACGTTTGAGCTCCTTCGAGCAAATCGTAACCATGATCGCAGGTTTGCTTATGGTACCTGTGTTGACGACGCAACGAATTCCATGCTCCAAGTCGTGTTGGGAAGGAGATATTAGAATGACGAGTGTAGCGGCAGTCCTGAATGTAATTACTTTATATAGCTTGTCCGGAGAGTCCTTTTACTATAATTTACACTGTACTGGCGCCCGGACTGGTGCCTGCACGCACTGTCACTGACAGTCACTGCTATTGTACGGGTCCCCGTTATGTTTAATTAACCTCTTTTCACCCTGGCTCTCACGGTCGCGGATCGATGCACTGACAAGTAAACCATAATCTATGCAGACGCCAATTAGAATTAATTTGAAAGAAAATGTCAAAGTTGAGATTGAAGCGCACGTACGAAGAGCTGCATAGAGTCTAGCTGTAAAGAACAGTTCTTCTGCTGTGTTAGATCTTCGCGATTATATAGCATTTTGCATTATTGAGAGATGAGCTACAACAAGGCCGATGTCAATCGAGATTTATATTGCCATCAACGGATGTTGCAGAGACGAAAACCAACTTCCTCAACAAGTAACGATAAAGGGCAACTTGTCCGAAGAACGACAACAAACATTCACAGTGTGGTGCGTTGTAGTGTGGAATGTATCGTAGTAAATATGGGCATAATTCATTAAGCGGACGCTATGCGCAAATCCGAAGTGCATGCTAATGATGCGAGATATCATACAGAGTCGAAAGCAATGCGTACGGGCGAGTTTTCGTACCACTAACGTGGAAGACACTCTGACCCACAGAGTAAACTCAGAGCTACCTACGAGCACCCGAGGACTCAGGGATGTCCCCTGGCGTCGCTATACTCTCTTGCCTCAACTGTTCAGGTGCCCTGGCCTCTTGCTTCTTATTAATACCCCTCGCTCCAGGCGCCAAGTACGTGTTATCCAGGTTAGGCAACTCGTCGCCCTCCGGCGGCTCCCAGTGCTTGCTCTTAATCGGATTGACGTGCAGGATGTACATCGTATCAATCTCCTCCAGCGTTCGGCCATGGCTTTCGCAGACAAAGAAGTACACTACTGCAGCACCGGTAAGGCAGCATGCTGCAAAGATGTATCCGTAGCGGTAATCGATAGCCCCGGTAATGTACGGTGTGAAGAAGGAAATGAGGAAGTTCCACACCCAGTTCGATGCCGTGGCGAGGGCCATGCATTTGGCGCGGTAGCGAGAAGGGTAGATCTCACCGACTACTGCCCACACAATGGGACCCCACGTCATGGCAAAACCGGCGATGAAGAGACACGCGAAGACGATCATAGCATAGCCTATGCTAGAGCTTGACTGGGGATTGTCCTGGTCGAGAGCAAAGTGGCCGAGCGACGCAAACACCATGAAACACATAAACATCCACAGACCACCGGTGATGAGCGCAGGGCGACGACCGAACTTTTCGACGATGTAGAGGCCAGGGAAAGTGGTGCCGAAATTGACGGCACCAAGAATGATAGATGTGACGTATGCATTGGGTAGACCGACCGACTCGAAGATGGTTGTTCCGTAATAGAAGTAGAAGTTCGCTCCGGTAAGCTGTTGAAGGGCTTGTAGTGAAATTCCCAGGATAGTTCGATATGCCATGCGTGGCCCGGTGAAGATTTCGTACCAGGGATGCTGTCCTCCGCCCGCGCGTTCGGCATCGAGCTTGCTCTTGATCTCCTTGATCTCACGCTCAACCTCGGGGTGGTCCTCAGGGACGCTGTAGCTGAGAGCAATCGTCTTACGAGCCTCATCAATCTTGCCCTTGCGGTAAGCCCAGCGGGGCGATTCGCGCAAAGTGAGCATGCCGAGGCCCATGATTACTGGCCAGATGAAGCCAAGAGCCATGGGCAGTCTCCAGGCGCGTCGACTTTGATTCTCAGCGGTCCCAAAATTGATACAGTACGCAGTGAAAATGCCAAGGGTGATAAAGAGCTGGTAACAAGACACCAGAGCACCGCGCACGTATCGCGGTGCAGTCTCAGACTGGTACATGGGAGTTAGGACAGAGAGTGCTCCAACGCCCAGACCCGCAACCCATCGGCCGATTGCAATCTGATACCAAGTGTCGGTTGTGCAGACCTGGACAATGACTCCAACGCAGAAGATGATGTTCCAGAAGCAGATCGAGTACTTGCGGCCGAATTTGTCTGCGACGGGGGCAGCGATGAGGGCACCTATAAGTGTACCAATGGACAACTGTATACGTTAGTCACGTTCTCTGATAATGGAGCAAAGTGGACAGCCTCGTGCTGCTCCACTATGAAGGCATAACCGGAATGCACGAGACTCTGTAGTCTGCATCCCGGGCAACCGAGAAGATACATCCAGCAAGAGGAGTCAAGCTTACCAAGCTCACTATTGTTCCACTCCGGCTATTCGAGAAGGCAGGCTTTCCCGTCTCAGGATCGGTTTGATCGCCAAATCTCCTCAAGAAGTCGTCCATTTCCAAGAAGCCGCTGATTTGTCCAGTATCGTAACCGAAGATGAAGCCACCCATCGAAACCAATACCGCCATAAGGATAATCCGAGGTCGAAAGCGGTCTGCGGTGCTCAATTGCGCATGAGGCCTCTTCTCGGGATCTGCTGTCGAGGACGCCGGGGTTGGGGAAGAACCCCTAAAGCGATCCATGATCGCCATAATGGTTCGTACAATCCGACTTCGTGTTGCCTATCCCAAGGCACTGCAGAGTATCAAAAGATGCGACGAGACGCTGGAGGAGGTTCGCGCGCTTGTGAAGGAGACGTGATATGCGCAGTCTATGACACCGACTGTACCACCACGGGGGATCATCTCCCCTTATAAGCCCCATACATCACCACCCCATCATTCGTCCCATGACCGTAGAATCCCAGGCCTTCGGTTCCGTCTTCATCTGCCCTCCGCGACTCCAAACTTTTCGAAATACAACGTCATCGGTGTAGTTGGCCTGTTCGTCGATTGAATCGGGCGCTAGAGATGGATGGAGTATAGCGGCAGATAGCTGCCGGTGCCCGACGTCATCCGGTTGGTGCGGCCAGTCATCGTCAAGATGAGGCTCTGATCTTTAGTGTCTTTCGTCTTCGAGACGACGTCAAACTACATCATTTTCGCCGACGTGGGGCGTTGAAGATGTTCGTTGTCGCATCAGGTGCACTGCTAACGGCGTGTGCGTATCGGAATCAGCGAAATTTGCTTGCCGGTCCGATTAGAACGATGGCGAAAACACGGAGAACAGGAGCGTGGATGGGGCGCTGATCAATGCCTGTATCAGATCGGAGTCGTCGCGATCAGTGGCCGGCCTGCGTAGGATGGAAGTCTGAGCTGCTTAATTCTTCTGGTCGGACTCTGCGACGAGCAAACTGTGGGGCTTGGGCGCCGGAGGTTTGGGAGAAGACGTGAGGATCGGCAGTAATGGCTACCAGAATGCTTGGGTCGGTCTTGGTCCTGCAGTTAAGCTTTTTTCGAAGATGCAGGTGTCGCGAGGCACCCTGCGCGGCTGCCAGATGGACATGGAAGCGGTGGTCGTGACGTCTCGCACAGGAACCTCAATTTTCCCTCGTCCATCTCTGAAGAATGGACTGTTACATTATCGTCGGATTTGCAGTCTCCGCATCAAAATTCACGAGAGAATTGAGACCCATCAACGTGGGCTGCCCCGGCCGGAGTGTGTGGAAGTGGAAGTGGAGTTGGAGGTGGAGCTCGCAATTTCTTCGGCCACGTGCAGACCCGGTGACGTGGGAAGAAGAGCTCACACAGGTTTCCTTAGGTGTCGATGGGATGATGAAGCGGCACTATGAGAGATTGGTGTGCGATAGACGTCACAGCAAGTACCGCTAAGGTTTGCCAGTTGGTAGTGTGGAAGATTGGCCTTCTCGAAACGGACATGTTGGGCAAAGGGAGTGCTGTCTTCAAAGCACATACTCCATTCATCTCCTACGGTAACTTGGTTGGCTGTGCAACCGTAGACTGCCGTGGACAGTCTTCTCTCGCGTCCGGCCCACTTCTATGGACCACCCATCAACCTCCAACCCCCATTTTGCCTAGCACGTACGAAACGGCCAGAAGCCTGGAGAAACACGCATTCTTCCTCACACATCGTGTCGCGCGTTCTTGCTGATATGCCGATTCTTCCCTTCGTACTAGCTCACCATTAGATACTCAGATGCTCAAATGACAAGCGCATCACTTACGCGATACAAGACGAAGGTGATAGGAATGAAACAGGTTGCGACGCCTCCAAGAAGCGAGTTACCAGCACCAATATCAAGCTTTCCGAAGAATGTCCGAGCCTGAAGACCGTCAGTATGGCAACCTAGCAGAAAGGACGGGGATTTCAAACGTACAAACAGCGGAAAGCTTGCGCCAAAAGCTGCCCTGAAGAGAGCATTCCCTGCGAAGAATGACGCTGTCTCGCACGGATACGACATCGCGAGGTAATTGAACACGGAGTTGAACAGAGTGACGATGCCTGGAAGCAGATAGTATGTCAGTAAGAGGAATCCACGTCGAGCGAAGAATACAAAAAAGATATGAAGAAAGTACGTACCCATTCCGAAGAAGCTCGTGCCAATGATGGGC